TCTTTTTTCACAGATGACATGATCACCTATGTAGAAAATCCAATGGAACCTCCAGAACTCTAGTAGAAATACTAAGTGAGTTTAGCAAGGTAACAGACTACAAGATACAAAAATCAATTGTAATTCTATATACTGGCAATGAACAATTGGAAAATGAAATTTAAAAAAGTACCATTTACAATAGCATCAAAACTCTGAAATACTTAGGAGTAAATCTGACAAAAGATTCATTACTTCTACATTAAAAACTACAAAATATTACTGAGAGAAATTAAAGATCTAGGTAAATGGAGATATATACTGTGTTCATGGGTCATAAGATTCACCATTTGAAAGAGATCAATTCTCCCCAAATTGACCTATATACTCAACACAATCTCAATCAAAATCCTAGATAGGTACACTTCTTTTCGGCATAAATTGACAAATTCCTTCTAAAACTCTTCTAGGTGTTTACCCAAAAGAAATGAAAATTTATGTTCACACAAAAAACTGTACATGAATGTAAGCAGCTTTAGTTATATCAGCCAAAAGCTGGAAACAACCCATATGTCCTCCAATGAGTGAATGGCTAAACGAACTGTGGTATTGCCACATGGAATACCACTCAGCCATAAAAGGAATGAATTACTTACACGTGTAACAACATGTATGACTATCCAGGGAATTATGCTGAGTGAAAAAGCCAATACCCAAATGACATACTTTATGATTCCATTTATGTAATATTCTTGAAACATGAAAATATAGAGATGGAGAACAGATTAGGGGTGCCAGGCCTTAAGGAGGGCGTTGGGGGCAGGAGGGAAGTGGGTGTGGCTATAAAAGGACAACAAGAAGGATCCCTGTGATGATGGGAATATTCTAAATTTTGACTGTATCAATGTCAATACCCAGGTTGCGATACTGTATATAGTTTTGCAAGATGTTACTGTCGCGGTCTAGGTGCCTGGAGAAACTCAAAGGTGGATTTGGAAGCAATTAACTTTTTCCGAGTTGTTTCTTTTCCTTTTGTATGTTAAGGAGATGTAACCACCAGCCATCCTGAAACTGACCAAGCCTCACCACAGGAGCTATGCCCATGACCTTTGCCTTATTTTTAATGCAAAGATCTCTCCAGGAGGAGCTAGGGCCTCATTATGTGGAAGCATGTTTTCCAGCTGAGCCTGTGCAAGCGAATACCCGCCTCTCTCTTTTGAATATTCATTCCCCAACTGAAATAGAAGTTCCTGCTTCCTTTTGTTCCAGGACATCATGACTTTGGAAATGATTCCTCATGGCCTCCTATTTGCTGCAAATACACTTTACTTTGTGAGACAACTTCCACTGGTATAGAACTTATTTAAGTCACCAGGTGAGTCCACTTGGTTGGGTAACATTCCCACTGGGGGAAACTGGATACAGTGTACATGGATGTCTCTGAATTATTTCATACAACTGCATGAGAATCTAGAATGACCTCAAAATAAAAAGTTCAAATTTTTAAAAAGCTAGGCCAAAAAGAAAACAAATTCTAAGGTGGTAGACCAAAACCCAGCTACACTAAATGTAAATTCACTAAATCTGTCAAATTAAAGAGTAAGATTGTCATATTTATTTAAAATAATGCAGTTTAATGAGACACACTTGAAAAATAAGACAGAAAGGTTAAAATTAAAAGAGTAGAAAAAGATAAACCATGCACTAGCTAAAAGGATGGTGAAGCTATAGTAATATCAAAATAGAATAAGACAAAAAGCAATGTTATAAATAAAGGGTAAATTCCTTAATTTCCTGTTGGATCAATCCAACAAGAAGCTATCACAACTCTAAATATGTATCACGCAATAAGAGAGCTTCAAAATATATAAAGCAAAGTTTAACAGAAATAAAAGGAGAAACAGACAAATCTACAAGTATAAAAAATGAAATCAGGAAGCTGGACGGACATAGAATGACCAACTCTGTTCTTTTCTCACCTGTGAATAAAATGATTAGCAAAAATAATTCTTACAATAGACAGAAAAAAATTCACTGTTGGTAAAGACACATGAGACAAATAAGCAAAACTTATTTGGAAGACACGTTCTATGTGGTGTTTGACGGGGAGTTTCTTGTCCCTTCCCAGACATGGACTCACACTACTCTGAAACAGTGCCCATTATCATCTAGTGAAAGGAAGGCTATGAAAGGAAGATTACCTTCTACTGCATCCTAGGGATAATTTAGTCCTTGGGGCTTCATAGAAGCTTATGAGCCAGAAGCCTCTCTGATACCTTCAACGACTACAAGTTCCTGATATTTCGCATGCTGTGGTCTGAAGCTTTTTGTTCTCTTTGCCAACATACCACAGCACAAAAGCGTAGGCTAGTGTTTTCATAGATATTTTCTCCTTTTTAGTCACTATTGCAAAATTATTGCAATGAGTCTTCAACTTTCAATGCCAATTGCTTTTTAATTCTTCTGAAGTCAGAGCAGAACCCCTATGAAATGCTGAAAAAAGAATCAGGTCTTTAGGGCAGGAGGGACACATAGTCTGGTTCGCTAGATTCTTAGGGTTTTGCTCCTGGTTACTTCTCTACTTTCCCACTTAACACTTTTCACTCCTGATGTTGAGGCTACTTTGAATTCTTGACATGAACTTTCATTCGATGGCTCAATGTCTTTGCCTTCTTCAACAATGTCTTTCTAAATTCCCTGTATCACCTTTGTCTATATAACACACATCGGATGTGGGGTAACAGAGTCAAAAAGCATGGGTGTGGGTGTTTCAGTAAAACAGACTCACAAATCTCTATAATTTCTCCCATTTAATATTTTAGTGACTGGCTTATTGACTTAACTTTGTAAGTTTCAGTACTGTAACAAGGGGACAGTCAGAAAAGCAGAAACACACACAAAGAATTCACACAAGCACACTGTCTCTGACAAAACTGCAGGGTCAGAATCAAACGGGCAGAAAAACATACGACGCGACAATGGTCACACAAATAGCTGCGATTTCGCACGATCCCAAAAGTCACTGGACCGCAGAATCTCTCGACCCCATAGAACTCCCCACCCCAAATTCCAGAGCCGAAATCTCCCACATGGTCACACAATGCTACTCCTCCCTTTTCGGACTGCCGCCAGGAGCTTGAGGCTCCGGCTGGCCGGCTCGTCCGGCCACAGGCCCCTGATTTTTCCCCATCTTCACCCGGCTGAAGTCCAGTCCCGGCTGCAGCACGGGCCAGACAGAACTAAACCGACTCAGCGGTGCTTCCTTCACGGATCAGGCATCATAACCCAGGGAACCCGAAGATTCCAGTCAACTGTAGGGAGGAAGCGACTTTTTGCAGAAAAATAGACGTCGGCCGCGAAGGCCTCTGGGAAATGTAGTCCAGGGCAGGCAAGGTGCGGACCTTTTCAGAGTCTTCTCAGCACCAACTTGCACTCCCAGACTCCGAGTGCCGGGCTCAAGGGAGGCCGCTCCCAAAGAATGCTAGCTGAGCCTCCTGGGCAGATCTGGGCGCCCCTAAATGCCGCCGTTGGTTATTCCCACTACTCGCAAACAGGAAGGCCAGTCCCGCCCCGGGGAGCCGCGGGGGCCTCTGGGAAGTGTTGTCTTGCGCCTAACGGACCGAGGCTTGTGCTGCCTTCGGCCACAGCCGGCGCCGACCCTGGCGGCTCCTACCTCAGCGGGCACCGCTGTGCCCCTTGGGCGACGTTGAGGTCTGGACTGGGGCCTGTGTCCGCGGGCTCGGTGGTGAGTCCTCGGGAAGCCGCGAGCTCCGAGGCCGCGCCTTTTTGTGCGGCGTGGGAGCGGGGCCTGCGGACCCGGTGCCTGTGTTGTTGGAGGATGCCGGGCGGGCTGTGCCCCTCGGGTGCTTCCCGAGGCGGGGGGAGAGGCGTGTGGACGATGTGAGCGTGTGGCACGAGGTGACTGTATTTGCCAGACATTTGTCTGTGACTTAGTGTGGCCGTGAGATCGTGTGTGTAAGCGGATTCTGTGGATGTGCTTTTCCTTTATGTTTCAGTAAGAACGTGGGTGCGAGCTTGCATGACGGTGGGATCGTGAGTGAATGAGAAACCCCGTGGATAGAGGGTCGAGTACGCTGCTGTGTGTAGATTTGTGAGAATGTACCAGTGCTTCATTTCTTCGGTTATGGTAATTGGAAATATATTTTTATACGAGACATCAATAGCCCCAATATTTTATTTTAATATTTATTTATTTTACATTTTATTTTCGTGTATTAGCCACGTTGTTTTGTGTGCATACTAACTTCGTGCTCCTTGCCCCTCACTCCATGCTCCAAATCGCAAAATGCAGAAAAGTTCAAAGAAAACAAAAATCATTCATAGTTCTACCAGCCACTGTTAAAATTTACTTCCCTTTTTTCACCCCTCTTTCTGTAAATACATACATATGCATTCACGTATTATTATATACGTGCATAATAGCTTAAAAATTGAAGTCACCTTATACATACAGTTCTGTAACCTACCTTTGTCACTTAACAATACACAATTAATATCTTTCCATTTAAACAATTTCAAATCTATGTTATCATTTTAAAGGTTTTCATGGTATACATTTTAATGCATTTACCCCTGTTGATGGGTAATTTGGTTCTTTCCAACTTCTTGCCACTGTAAAAGATGTGTTTATCAGCAACTATTTGGTACATGTTATAGTGCAATTTCCTAATTTTTTTTGGCAGGGGGCAGATTCCTAGAAATGGAACTGATAGGTCAATGTATGCTCTTATTAAAGGCTCCCTAAATCTATCCAATTACTCTCCTGTAAGGTTCTAATAACCTGCAGTATTATTGGCATAGTATAAGATTGCCTATATTCAGACACCCTTGATAACAATGGATATCAATAGTACTAGTAATCTTTGTTAACCTCATAGATGTAAAATAATTTAATTTGCAGTTGCTTGATTACTACTGAAGTCAACCATTTTAAAAATCTTTTTTGTGAATTTTGTTTTCTAAAGTATTTTTCTAAAGCAGTGTTCTATTTTCACATTTCTTTTCCAGAATTATTCCTGTATTAAGGATTCATTCATTCATCCACTTACCATTTATTGAATGCTGTCTGTGTGACAGGAACGATTCTAGATGCTTGGGATATAGCATTGAACGAAAGAGACGAACTCCCTGCTATCATGGTACTTTGTTGTGGGCCAGATAATAAGTGAGGTAAGTTAAATATAATATATATTAAATAGTGAAAAATTCTAAGAGAAAAAGTAAACTAGGAGGATATATAGCGTTAGGGATGGGAGTTGGAGTCTTAGATGGGGTAGCCAGGAAGGCATCCTGAAAATGTAATAATAAAGATATGAAGGAAGTAAAGGAGCTATTTATGCATATAATTGAGAGAAAGTTATTCCAAGCAGAGGGAACAATGTTGTAAAGGCCCTGAGGTGGGAACCTCCGTGTAACAATGAAGAGGCTGGTGGCTGAAATAGCGTAAATGAGAGGGAGAGAGATAAGAGATGAGAGAAGAATGGTAAGTAGAGGGAAGGAGGGCAGATCAGGTTGGGCCTTGTGGGCCTTACTGATGGTCTTAGCTTTTACTCTGAGTGAGATGGGAAGCTGTTGGAGAGTTCTGAGCATGGGAGTGATATTATCTGCTTACAATTTAGAAGGATTGCTTTGGCTGCTCTGATGAGAGGACTATGGGAAGAAGAATGGGGGAAGGGAGTGGGGACAAAGGCAGAAGCAGAGAGACCAATTAGGAGACTACTGTAGTAATCTAGGGAAAAGATGTTGGTGACGTGGACCAGAGCAGTAAAAATGGTGAGTAGTAGTCATTGTACTGGATATAATTTAAAGGTAGCGCTGACATAATTTGCTGACAGAACGGATGTGGAGTGTGTGACAAGATGACACAATATTTTTTATCTGAGCAACTTGAAGAATGGAGTTATCATTAACTGAGAAGGGAAAGAAAGTAGAAAAAACTGACTTGGGGCATAGGGAGATAGTGAGATTTCAGTTTGGAATATATTATGTGAAGTGTGAGATGCTCATTAGATATTCAGGTGGAGATAGTAAGTTGGCAGTGGGATATACAAGTCTGAAGTTTAAAAGAAAGGCCTAAGATCTAGGCTGGAGACATACATTTGGGAATTATCAGCATATAGATGATATTTAAAGCCAGTAGACTGGATGAGATCACTTAGAGAGTAGTGTAGACAGAAACATGTAGAGGTAAAGGACTTATCTCTGGGTCATTCCAACAGAGTCTGGGAAATGAGGAGGAACCAGCAAAAGAAATCGAAAGGCACTAGCTAGAGTAGTTGGAAGAAAATTAGGTGAGTATGACATCCTAGAAACCAAGGGGAGAATGTGTTTTAACAAGAACTGTGTCAGATGCTGCTGATAGGCCAAGTAAAATGAGGACTGAAGAAGGAACATTGAATTTAGCAACATGAAAATCATTGGTGACCCTGAAGAGTTGAATATGGGGCCAGAGAGAGAACTGGAGAAGAAAAATTGGAGATACCAAGTGTGGACAATTCTCTAAGTTTTTCTTGAAATGGGAGGACTCAAATGAAATGGTAGATGGAATTAGGAGGTATATAGTAACTCTGTATATACTGATTGAAATGATTCAATAGAGAGAGACACTTGATGATGCAGGAGACAAAGGGAGAAATACTATAGACATGTCCTTAAGTAGCAAGAACAAATGTTAGGGGTTTGAGGAGAGAGGAAAAGAATAAGATAATCACTTAGGAAAGTGGGGCAGAGACTAGAGTAGAGAAATATAGTATGATTTCCAGGCAGCATCAAAGACCCACTTGATGTTAGTTTTCATGATTAAAGTGAACCTGTTCCATGTGATTGTTTGATTTTTCTCCTGCAATGTTCGTCTGCACAGTTGTAGCCACAGACAGGGTAGGGGGAGAGTTGGATTTAACCAGGGTGTTAATTTCAAGAAGTAAGTAGGAATAGTGTGAGAGAGAGGCAAGGGAGTCTAAGTTGACAGGAATTAATTATATTGAGTGATTGTGGATTTTAGGCCAGGTAAGTAGAAAAGTGAGGATAGGAAGGGGGTGTGGGACAGTAAAAAATTGGTAGAATGAAGGAATGGAAGTTCCTGATGGGGTTGTAAGACTGTTGGGTTGAAACACTAGAGGAAGTAAGGTGGAGACATAGAAGGATATTTTTCCCGTTAGTTGTCAAATGTTTTCAGAATAGAAGAATCCCTCTTTTTATCACCATACTTGTTTTAGAAAACATAGATGATTATTAGCTTTATTTCAGCAGGGGTTACAAAATGCTGATGTTCGAATTTTATCATTCCTTCTTCAGTTACTAGCTGGAATATTTTCCTAAAGAAAAAATTTTCCTCATCAACTTTTTGGTTATTTATTTTTTTATCTTTTTTGTTGAGGAAGATCAGCCCTGAGCTAACATCCATGCCAGTCCTCCTTTTTTTTCTTCTTTTTTTGCTGAGGAAGACTGGCCCTGAGCTAACATCCGTGCCCATCTTCCTCCACCTTATGTGAGATGCCGCCACAGCATGGCCTGACAAGTGGCACATTGGTGCGCGCCCGGGATCCAAACCTGGGCCACCAGCAGCAGAGCGCATGCACTTAACTGCTATGCCAACGGGCCGGCCCCAGCTCTGGTTATTTTGAGGTACGGTTTGTACAGGAAGGGCAGAATAAATTGAATCTTTCCCTTTATAGGTTTTCAGGCTGTTGAATTCGTTCCCTAGCACCTCCCAGTGAGTTGTTGTTATTATTACTATTACATGCTCATAGATTTTAACATTTGATATGTTTCAAACCATTGCAGTTATTTTCTTTTTGAAGCTCAAATATTCCCATTTTTGGCTATCTCTTCAAGATGGCTTATGAGTCTTTTTAACACATCCCCAGAAGTCTTTGATAGTGTATGACAGGTTATTTCAGGATCATTTTGAACATTTCTGGCCCTAGGCATGAAATCAGGCATTGCTCTATGGTGGCCTGATTCTTTTTATTGGGAAATGGTATTTTGAGACCACAATTACAGTGCTTATTGCTGCTGGCATGGTCATTGTTTCTAGGCTTTTGTGTGTGTGTGTGTGGAGAGAGCTAGAAAATATATTGAAAAAAATTTTTAATAGCTTGATTAAGACATAATTCACATACCGTATATTTTACCCATTTAAAGTGTACAATTCAATGTTTTTTAAAAAAACGTATTCACAGGGTTGTGTACCCATCACCATAATGCAATTTTAGAGCCTTTTTGTCCCCCCTAAAAGAAATATCATACCCATTAGCAGTCGATCTCGTATTCTCCTTCTTCCTCCCAGTTTAATCAATCACTATTCTGCTGTCTTTCTAAATTTGTCTATTTCAGACATTTTATTTAAATGAAATCATACAATATGTGGTCTTTTGTGATTGACTTCTTTCACTTGTCATGTTTTCAAGGTTCATTAATATTATAGCAGGAAATATATTTTTAACAGAATAGGCTTCATCAGTTCAAATTGCTATTTCCAATTTTAAAAATTTAGAATTACAGGGCTTTTACTTTGGTTTTATTTTTGCATCTTTTATTGCTCATCTATCCATTCATCTATGGATCTATATATGTATATATAAATAAGATAGTGTCAGAGCAATACTATCAATACTTATAATATTCCTACTGTAAGTAATTTAACATTTCTTTATAGATCTATTTGTCCTTAGCATATAGCCCTCTAGGGAAGTACAGTCCAATTATTGTGCTTTAAAGTAACTAGAACAAATTTCTTTTTTTTTTTTATAATTTTATTTATTTATTTCTTTTTACCCAAAGCCCCAGTAGATAGTTGTATGTCGTAGTTGCACATCCTTCTAGTTGCTGTATGTGGGACGCGGCCTCAGCATGGCCAGAGAAGCAGTGTGTTGGTGCGTGCCCAGGATCTGAACCCGGGCCGCCAGCAGCGGAGTGCGTGCACTTAACCGCTAAGCCACGGGGCTGGCCCTAGAACAAATTTCTCTGTGTGGTTAAGCCACAAACGTGATATATGATTAGGTTCATTTGTTTTATTTTGCTTTTGATTTTTAGATATAGCTTTTGTTTTAACATTTGTTTTATAATTATGTAAAACATTTAGATGGTTGGAAAGTCAAATATACAAAATGAAGTCAAGTATATACAAAACAAAGAGGAGTCTTATTTTTTATTCTATTTGTAACTTTACCACCTTGTTCCTTCTCTACTCCTGTTAGTAACTGTTTTTAAAATTTTTTAGTTTTGGGGGGGTTATATTCCATTTTTTGATATAAGCAAATATGTTTTTTGTGTGTAAATTCATACCACCTTTCTTAGATAAATTGTAGCTTACTATCCATGTTTTTTCTCATCTCACTTTTTTCATCTTATATAAATTAGAAGATTGGCTTGACAAGTTGAATGAAAAAAACTTCTTGGGAATTGTGACTGGAGTTATATTAATTTTATAGATACTATTGGGAAAACCGACATCTTTACCATGCTGACTTTTCCTGTTTTTAAGCATGGTATTTATTTAGGAGAACTTTTATGAACTTTAATAAACTGAATACATTTTCTTGATTAGGCTCTCACACAGCTTTTGTTTGAATTATTCCTAGTACATTAGAGTTTTTGTTTCTTTTGTGATTTGTGAATAGGTTAGTTAAAATGCCACATAGGTCTCCTACTGTGTTCAAGTCGCCTCTCTCCTGGTTAAGTGTTCACTTGGTTATTGTAACATTTGACTATCTCCCAGGGTTCCTGTAAGGTTGATTCTGACAAGTTTTGCCAGATTTTTCCGTTTTTGGAGGGAGATGGACTCCTAGAGTTCCCTACTCTTCCATTTTCGTGAATGTCACTCCCATCTCTTTACTTTTTTTTTTTTTTTTTATTTTTTTTAAAGATTTTATTTATTTTATTTTTTCCCCCCAAAGCCCCAGTGGATAGTTGTGTGTCGTAGCTGCACATCCTTCTAGTTGCTGTATGTGGGACTCGGCCTCAGGATGAACGGAGAAGTGGTGCCTCGATGCGCACCCGGGATCCGAACCCGGGCCGCCAGCATCGCAGCGCGCGCACTTAACCACCAAGCCACAGGGCCGGCCCCCATCTCTTTACTTTTAACCTATCTGAATGCTTATGTTTGAAGTGGGTTTCTTGTAGACACATATAGTTGGATCTTCGTGTTTTTATCCAATCTGTATTTCAAC